TACTGTTTAATTAAAGCCAGAAAATATTTTTAGATTGTAAGAATTCTGAGATAACAATAGTTGAGTGATACAAGTCTTACTAATTAATCCATAGATGGTGGGGAGAAGAAGTGGCTTCATACCTTTCGCAAGGTTATTTACGCGGAATGGAATATAACCAAACCAACGAGAATTAGAACTCGGCCCTCCGGTTAACAATTCCGATCCCTTATCCATTACACCAACCGCACATCCAAGCTTACAGCACCTGGTATTCCTAAGCGGTCACCCATCTAAGTACTGACGAGGTTCGACTTTGCTTAACTTCGATGATCGTACGGGAACCGGTGTTTCAACGCGATGTGGCCGTAAGCCTCAATCATGATACTCAGCAGGACTCATCAGCAGGCAAGTTAGGTTTAAGACTCCAAGCTCTCCAAACAGAATTGTCCAGCCTAGTGGATTAAAGCTTTGCTTCGTGAATTTGGTGACGTAGCCATAATTAGTTCAATCTCTATGCCAGTCAGTGTATACTTGACTGAGAAGCACTAAAATAAGAATTAGACGAGATTTTCCTAAACATGGGCAATGAAACGAGAATAATATACTCTCGTAGAGTGTTCAGTTGAAAATTCCCTGTAGGTTACACGGATCGACATACACCTGAAGAAAGCCAGAGGCACAGCGGTCGAAACGTTGTGATAACAACAACAAAGATATAATATAAATAAAATAAATATAAATAATAAATAAATGTAAATAAAATTCCAACATATTGAGTCTACACGAAAATGTGGAGAGCCGTGAACATGCCAAATTTCCCGTTTGTCTTATTATTTCACTAATTATTTCACCACAATAAAAGCGATGAGGTATGATGCAAGGGTTACTGAGTCTGAAAGAGAATAAAAAAAAACATTAATGAGAGGGAATGAACAATTAAAGAACAGGTTTCAAAAAGTGAAAAGATGACGATTGACGCTGCATTTAAATTTCTAAAATCGTAGTTTACAAAAAAAAAGTAGCATATCTACAGACGATAATGGGTATGTCCGCATTTGCATAAATACAGAAGCAAATACTACTGTGTAAGTGTTGTGGATTCCGGGATGAAATCCGGTCTCAAAATGAACGACAAACGCAGGAATGAAATATAGCAAATAAATGTATTGACGTAATAATACAATTGGTAATACGGTTACTAGATCCAGAAACGCGGTTAGTAGCAATAATAATATATATACAGTCTGGGAAATTCAGTATCGAAGTATGACTTCCTTCTGAGTCTACGTGCTCGCAACTGTGACTCCTACAAAGCGGTTACCTCACACTCTCACTCTCTCGCTGTTACTGTATCACTGTATCACTGTATCACTCTCTGACCTCCGGGTATTCACCAGCAGCAGTACAAGTACACACTGGGCGAGTCCACTTGTATGAAAAAGGGGTGAACCCCTTAACAGTAAGTTAGTCTGCAGTTGGAGATTCGTCTCCAGCTGTGCTGGTTAAACTCTCTACCTCCGAGCAGAGGGAAAAATTTAAATCTGCATGGCACTTTACTCCAATTGGCTCATTCGCTTGCTTAAACTCAACGTTGATTCTGATTCCGCAGAACAAACGAACAGGTACCGGCGAGTAACAAATACAAGATGACTGTTCGTAAACAACTTTATATCTCTGTTGTGTATGATACACCTAATTTACATAAGCGGACTACCGACCATATAAATATGGGTTGGTACCGGAAGACGGGGAAGATAGTAGAGATTAAGAAATTGAATCCAGAGACTCTGCCCGACTGCGATTTAGTCAACCCATTATGCAGGAACAGTCTTCCCAAGAATATACCAAACTAACTGTAAATATTGTGTACCTATTCTTTGTTTCAATACATTTTGTTAACGTACATTTTGTGTTGTATTATTCCATGCTTATTTAAGCTTCAACATATAACAAAAAACAACAAAATATAGGAAGAGTATGGAATGGCAGACATAAAATCAATAAAAGACTCTTATCTGATACTGGGTATTAGTTCAAGCATTCGTGCTTCATAAATTTGTAAGTCCAAATGTTCATAATGACAAATAGATAGAATCACTTTAAAATGTCCAAGTAAAAGTCGGTAGTTCTTTTCGCATTATAATTTATAAGACTCCGGAATAATGTTTGCATTTTGTTTGCCGTTTGGTAATGAAATTATATCCAAGATGTAGCTGGAATGATTTCTGTGGGTATAATATTCCTTTATACTCTACACATCAAGTAGTCGGATAAGTCCACGGTGTTCGGGAATAATATCTTTTTTTTTATTCACTACACATCAAGTAATTGAACAAATCCAGGAAACCTCGGAATGATTTATCCTTATTCCTTACACAACAAGTAATAGAATAAGTTCATGGGCGCATCTCCCATAAGCGGTCGCTGAGAGTCGATTTTCTCGCGATCTGTCGGGGTCAGAGATTATCGGGAAACTCAAATTACAGTACCAAAAATCCTACGTGGTGGTGTATGCCACGTGAACTCGGGTGACCGATTTTTACTTCGTTAGGTGGTCAATCTGTTTTGTTGTTAACCGACACAGATTCCTTACCGCCATTCCTTAGTCGAGGCAGAATTGTCTAGACAGGAAATAAAAAAAGAAAAGATAGAAGAGAAAAGGAAACACAAAGACAGCGTATCCCTTTAAAAACTGATTTAACATTCAACATTCAGGGCCATATAATCAGTATCTTATTCATTGGGTGGACAAGGGTTTCCTTGTCAATAATTACAGAAAGTCTGTGATGTAATGGAATAACCAGTCACCCCCATGAATGATTACACTATAGGTAGCAAATACCTATAAAGTCCACTGTATACGAGAGACTTAGGAGAAGGTGAGAGCGAGACGACGCAAGCACGACCGACCTTCAAGTTTGTGACACTGACCTGTGTGTATTACTGTACCGTATTTCATATTGTACTTGTTGTGTACAATAAACCCTTCTAGTATCCACCTGGTGTTATGCGTTTATTCCCTTAGCACGGAATATAACAGTCTGTAATTTTTAGCGCAAATATTTCATTATAGTTGATTTATAGATTTTGATAATTTTGTAATTTTTTTATAAAATTTTGAATAAAAAAATCTCTTTTCACGTTTATTTCTTTATAAAACGGCAAATAATAAATCCTTATAAAAATTAAATAAGAAAAATATCGCATTGTGTTTGTTTTATATATTTTTATAATCATGTAAATAAACATTGTGTGGGGGCATCAAAAGTGTATACAGTAATAGCTAAGGGAATAATCGTCCTTTTAACACAGCGTTATTTGTGTTATACATTGCCAATTTTTATTACATTCTTTTGTACATTCCCATCCACACAAATGCGACATTATTTTCCGAATAACATAGTAATTTTAAGCACTTTTGAATTAATCGTAACATTTACGCGACGGATTAATTTCTCCATTTCCTGTTATAGAATTCCTTTGCCGAGTTTCGAATGTTACTTAACAGCGCTAAACGGCAGAAAGTCATTCATATTTTTTTTTTTTTTTTGTTATTGAGCCACTAAAATATGATGCCGGCGTAACACGTAACCGATATCTACCCGAAAAGTGCCGTGTCTTTAATAGTTTTAGTAAGTCAATATAGACTATTATATTTATTAGAGCAGGGATTTTCTTCATTAATATACACAGGGCCTTTGATCTCTTGGAAGTAGAGGTCCGTTACGCGTGTACAAGTATTCTACTCTATGAATTAATGGTTTTCTAATCGCTGCTATTTCCTCGCCCAACTTCTGGGTATCTGGAATTGACTCAGCAAACGAGAGGATGTGGCAAAAGGGATTAGTAGAATACTGCCGAGAAGTTTCGAAGAACCTGTTTAATATCTTCTTGTAAAGACGAATATGACTCTGATAAAGTGTAGGTAACATTAAAATTGTCTAAATCAAGAGTACAGTAAGTAAAATATCGACATGTGCATTTAAAATGTGCATTCGAAAATGTGCTTATAATTACTTTTGGCAGCGTTCTAAAAGTAAGCATGGTCATTATTTTTCTTTTCCACACTACTCCATTCGATCCAAGTACCAAAAGTAGACTTTACAGAAACCATGTGTGTCTAGAAGTAACTCGGCTAAAGATAGGAAATAGCAGCAGTGAATAGTAGAGTGCTGCTGAATAGTTTCAGAGAAAAGGTGTATTTTCAAGTAAAATTCGAAAATAATTTAAAAAAAATATATAATTTCGCTTCAGAAAGTAGGCGATCATGACTCTCCGCGATCTTTTTCTTTATTAGCTATGACTTGTCAAATTATCTATAGCTTGTTGCTAGGCAAGGTACAAAAGCTCAACTCCACTTTGCTATTTAGTTCATAACCGGAAGGAAAAGAGATGGATTCATGCCTTTATCAAAGGCATTTGCGCGAAAGTAAACACAACTAACCAGGATAGAATTTGAACTCGGCTCTCCTGTTCCACTTTCCGTGCCAATAAGAGTCACACTAACTGCACAAGTATAGTGGGGTGGGGGTTGATTAAAATTGCTTAAATCAATTTTACAGTATTTGAAGTATTGAGATTTGCATCAGTGTATATGACGACTTTTGGTCGAGTCATAAAATTAAGCATGGAAGTGATTTTAATAATTTGGTGGCGTTTGCGCGTGACTATCCGCGTGCATGCGTCTACGTACAAGCGCATTTTTTGCGCATGCGCGTGTATGAAAATAAATTTAAAAAATGGCCGACCGCCAGAATCGAGCTTACTTGCAAAGTTTTAATTTTATTTACTCTTATTTCCTGGTAAAGGTATTAAATGATCTTCTTTTATGTGCCGTGTCCTTTCAGCACGTGGACGACCATGGTTCTCCGCAACTTCCTTTCGTTTGTAGTTCTCAGCAATATTCGCTTTTATACTAACCTTTCCACTCACTGAAATGCCAACAATTTACAAAAGCATGGCTGGTAGGTTACTCGGTGTTTTCCTCAGATCTCTGGTCTCCAGTATGTCTTGGCTTACGACAACATCACATTTAAACATTGGTTCCCGTACGATCACTGAAGTTAAGCAACGTGGATTCTAGTCAGTATATTGATGGGTGACCGCTTGGGAATACCAGATGCTACAAGATTGGATGTGTGGGTAGTGTAATAGATAATGGCTCAGAATTTTTAATCGGAGATCTAATTTGTGCTGTGTTCGTTATTTCCCTTACACGCATATATGTATATTAATAGCTATACATATTACTTACATCAGTCGTACGACTTAGGCTTTAATGTCTGTACACTCGTTATGTACTAATATTTAAGCTATTTTAATGATTTGTATAATCGTCAATATATGTAAAATTATTAATATACTTCTTAGCTCTGTCTAACTATATTGAGCACTGTTTTGTTTACACCTTAAATTGAATAAATATTTATTCGCTTACCTGTGTATGCACGCTAACGCACGTATATACAGTTATTAATATCTAGTTATTTAATTTACCCACCTCAATACCTATATATATATATATATATATATATATATATATATGGAGAGAGAGAGAGAGAGTTAAATCGTTAAAAATTGTTTGTTTACATATTCCTTGGATTAATTAGCAAGATTTGCCTCACTTAACCATTATTATCTCAAAAACAAATCTTACAATCTAAAAATATTTTCTGGCTTTAAATAACCTGCAAAGGGTCGATAAGCCGTAGAAAACGAATCAATCAATTCAGTATGTCCTGTGAGTGTTAAATTCTCCAAGTTCCCTTTCCTCATTATATGACCCAGAAATTGTTTCCGTTTTTCTCGTTGCTGACATATTCAGTTCGTAGAATTCTCTGCATCCTTCCACAGAATCACATCTGTCCTGTCTCAAGACACTTCATCATCTGTGAGGAAATTGGCCAGAATTAGCTGTTATATTGGGGAATTCTTATTACATAGCATTTCAGCACGTCTTTTTTTTTTGTTTCTAATGACATTTTCCGAGTTCTTTTGCTAGCATATTTTGCAACACGCTAATTTCCCAAATGGTTAAGTTATTTATGCTGATTCCTTGTAAGCATTAACGGTAAAATTTTGGGATCTTGTCAAGATTAGCGAACCCAACATTTCCATGTCAAGAACATCGAACCCAATTATCCATTTGTCAAGATTAGTGAACCCAATTATCCCCATGTAAAGAATGGCAAACCTTTGACAAAATATGTTCTATTTATTAAAAACAATGTTAGAAATATAAATGAACCCGTTTCTTGATAAATGAACAATTAAAATAACATATTATTCACTTTCCATGCAAAAAATATCTTCGTTATTGAAAGGATATTGTATAGTGATTGCATTACAGAACTCCAATATCCTGTTAACCATATACCATTCCATCCACAAGAACTGATTTGAATAACTTTGTAGAAAATTGCAGTTTTTTATTTGGCACTTCCACAGATAGCCATCCAGAGAGACATTACACTTTGTCTAATTCATAAATGTATTACATGATTTATATTTTAATTCCCGTCGAACAAGTGATTTTTTTCTTTATCCAGTCAATCACTGATAAGCTATCCTCCCCAAGTAATAGCTTCACAACCTCCTTGAACGTAGATCTATCCATCTTGAGGGTTCCTGGCTATCTGAATTAATAAATTAAAACCAGTATATGAGAATCTTGTTACTTGTACCAAAATGTTCATGTCTAGAACAGCGAACCCGATGATTCTCATGTAAAGAATAACGATCCCAATCAACTTCTTGCAAAGAATAGCAAACCTTGCTGTGAGTGGGTTCATTAATCTTGAATAAGATCCAAATTTCGTATTACAGTCACAATACTGAGATTAAAAAAAGGCAAAGAAATGATAAAGGAAGTCAAACAGGCGTTGGAAAATGTTATAAAAAAATACGAAAGTTTCAGCTTGTTTTAACGGAGCCTAAAATACGCAGAGACATGCAACTTCGAATTTTTGTGTTAATCGAGAGATCATGATAAATTAGGGCGTGGTCCTTATTACTCACTAAAAGGCGTTGCCGGTCAGTTTTTGAATGCAGTAAACACTGGGTTTCAAATTTCTGCGCCACGTTTTCGTAGTGCTACATGATCTTCCTGCGTCAGTGCTTTGACGCCCAAACCAAATCTGTTCGTCTGTACAGATAATCATGTCTCACAGACACGCACGCACATATACACACGCACACTAGCACACACACACATCCCTGCATACTCGCAGCCACGCATACAAGCATACACCCTCACACAGAGACGCAAGCACACACATACATATTTGCACAACCACTCACACACACGTGTATACATACGCACACACACACATATACATGCGCATACACCTAACAACCATACGTCCCTTAGAAACTACTAAGTAAAAATGTGTTGATAAAAAGAATTTGAATATTTTATTAGGTAATTGGGTACTTCGTCGTAGTTTAATGTTTAGCAAGTTTATCTCGTTAGATCAATTACGACCGAGTAGTGAATTCGATCCGCACTGAGTACTTCATTATCATATCCTTGTGTCCCATGTAAGCTACTCTTAGAACACGATTATTTATTAGCCATTTTGACTATTATTTCCTTCACTTTCATTGATGCTTTTGTCGTAATGTTCCGATCGTTTAAACCTACGACCATTAAATTAAGCTGAGTGAATTGGAAATTTAAAAAAAGAAAACGTAATCCAAGACAAGCCTGCATACAATTAGCTTTCCCAGTAATTACTTTAAACTTTTGCAGATTGGATCATTCTAATCTAATTATCCTGTCACTTAGACGATGATCGGGGCTACCATGATGAATTTTCCATGGCCTTCTCTCGGGATAATTGGGATTATTTGCTCATTTCCTGTTCAATAGGATGCGTCAGGTTGTATTGTGTTACAAGGTATCAGCTATAGGAAATAATCTCTGACCTTATTTATAGTTTTCAAATTAACATTTGTTAAAAGCTGGGTGGTGTGTGTGGATAGCGTAGCGGTTATTGGCGCGGAAAATGAAACCAGCGAACCAAGTTCAAATTTTCTAGCTAGGCTATTGTGTTCACTTCCGCACAAATACACTTAGGAAAGGCATGAACCTGTCTCTTCTTCACCTATCACATTAGACTGAACTCTCTAGTCATAGGTGGCAACCAATCTAAGAGATGAAAACTCCCAACCGTAGAGAGGCCAAGGGGAAACCCATCCCGAATCTTTCCCAACAAAAACTATACCAATTCACAGATAATAGAGAAAAGCAATCTAGAATCCGCGATCGCCTACGTCCTGGAGGGATGTGACAGTTAAATAAAAAAAAAGGCTCGATAGATTCATTAGTTTACAAGATTTTAGCAATCCTGTCTCAAGGGCCAGCATTACTGTAGTAAATTTGAAACTCGCCGGGTTATCTAAAATTTTGACCTCTTGCCAAACTAAGCTAGGTTTTGTAAATACACTTTTTCTCCAAATACAAGTGCCGACACGATAAAATAATTTCCTTCAATCAAGACACCCACCTACCCTCTGCCGCCGACACGGTACTCATTTGTTACGGTACGCTTATTATATTTCAAAACATTTCACGGTACTAATATACCGACCAGTACGGGAAAGATTAACATACTCACTATTGTTTTAGGTCGCTGTTTATGGTTGAGAAAATGTCGTGTGTTGAAGAACGAAAACCACAAGTGTGGAATTGGTTGTAAGAAATAGACCAGGGTTGGCCAAACCACGCCTTGCGAGTCACATGCGGCTCATCGACCTTTAATATGTGACTTGTGAAAATATGCCGGCTGAGCTCCTTTTTTCATCACAGTTAATATAAAAAGTTAAATAAGAAAAAAATTCAAGCTTCATAATTATTTACGGGGTATGAATTCAGACCACATTGGATTAAAACGCAAGTTTAATATTCATGGTTAGTAAAGATTTTTAAGAATTTAAATCTAAATATTAATGCTAGTTCTGAGTGAGGCATGGCGATATTGGTTATTTAATACCGAAATGTAAATATTTTCTACGAAATTTTTTGCTTTCAACTACAGATATTTTGTACATAATTTTATACTTTCAGAGTAAAAGTATGTTTTATTAGATATATAGTTTGTACATCATAAAATTTATTGTTGGTAAGTTTTTAAAAAATGTAATACTGATAATTACGCTACAAAAATGCATTGTTGGTATCTGTCTATATTTGGATAAAAATATTGGTTAATTCAGTTGTGAGTTCAATACCTGGCCACAGCAGTGAGAACAAAAACTTGAGTTATGAAGGGAAATTAATTAAAACTGAAATAATCAAAGATATGGCATATGGAATTAAAACAATCTACCCCCGTGAACCACATAAAAATTTCGACTCGAAATTCCAACAAATATCACCTGAAGAAAGCCGGAGCGTGCAACGGCCGAAATATGAGAATTAATAGTCCGAACAATGTAAATATATATTGTGGGTAATTTTTTATAAAAATGTATTGCTGGTAATTTTACTGTAAAAGGGTAGTTTTTATAGCTTTTTAGTTTTGCATTGATTGTCATTTTATTCTAAAAATCTACTGCTGGTAATTTGACTATAACAATGTATGGTTGGTAATTTTATTAGAAAAATGTGCTGTTGATTTTTGTTTGGGGTTCACTATTTGTTCATAGCTGGGACCCTAACAGTTCCATTCTTCGATTACTGCAGCTTGGGAGAATGGAAAAAAATAATTTATCGAGTCTGATTTTGTTTTTTTCCATCTGTTGATATACACATCTATAGATCCGCATTGAAAAGGCCGCTCACTTGTCATGGGCTCGTGACATTATATCCTGGCTGTGAAAGCTTTCTGGCTGTTAGTCGTACAATCTGCTTTTAGAAATGGTAAAATTTGGGTCTTCTTGTTATTATTTGTTTATTTCTTATCTTACATCCTGCTCGTGAATGTTGGTCGAACTATGGCTTTGTTTGCTTGGCGATTCTTATTATCGATCTATTTTTTAGATATGGAGGAATTTTGGCCTTCTTGTTACTAAACTATTTATTTATTACTCTTTTGCCACAATATAAAACTGGATTTATGCAGTATTTTATTTCTTAGGTAATGACAACAAAAATATTAAACAGTATTCTTGTAAATTATCAGTCA